ATAGTAATTATTAAATATTAATATATTATTTAAATTTAATATTTGAAAAACGTTTAAATTTAAATAAATAATTTAAAAATACTTAGTGTTTTCAGAATAACTTAATTTACAATTTTGCTTTGAATAGATTCGATATTTAATCACACGAATCTTATTAATTTTGATCTTAAAATAAATTTCTTTTTTAACAATCGAAAAATCTAACAATATATTCTATTTCAATCCAAAAATAAAATTTCTTTGATGTGTATGCTATATGGCAAGATACATTAAAATTATCTTTTTCTAAAAAAAATTGTTTTTCTGATTTAAAAAATGCGTAATTATATCAAATTAACTTTAATGTATATCATTAATATTAATAATTTCACATCTTTATAAATTAAATAACATTTAGCGTGCGCTAATCTTCTAAATTTCCATCACGATCAACTTTTCCTTATCTTTTCCCATCATCTCGTTCGCAGGCGATAACGTGGACTGCTGGATGGAAATTCAGCATGGAAAGGGCCCGTGGGCGCCGCCTGTATCCGGAATTGTGCCTCTCGGCTCCACTCTCACTCTGGTCATCGCCATAAACGATTATCGAGGTAACGAGCTCTACAATAAGATGGAGCATTTTCATAGCTCGCTCAGGTTTCACTTAGAACGAACGCTAACGTAAAATTCTCTGTTATTAACCGGGCGCAGGTGAGTTCGACATGCGGGTCAAGTCGTGCGTGGCTTCGGACGGCGGCGGTCATACGATACAGCTCAGCGACGAGTTTGGCTGCGTGCTGAGACCGAAGATGATCAGCCGGTTTTTGAAGGCTCGCGGCTCGGACGACCGCGCGACCGTCATCACTTATGCCTTCTTCCATGCGTTTAAGTTCCCGGATGCATTAAGCGTTCACATCAAGTGCAAAGTATGTATAAATGTGTTGCGAAAACATGGAAGATTGTTAAAAATTTCTTCATGAAAAGATATCGCTCTTCTAACAAATTGGAAAATATTTTTACGTAAAGGTGGAGATATGTCGACACGGTTGCCTGGATCACTGTCAACTAAGCGGCTCCGTAGCTCATTACATTCAGGAGAGGAAGGATCAGGTACGACCGCAATATGTAGACAGCACGTCAGCCTCTATCGCCTCGAACGACGATAATAGTAGCGCGGACAAGGACAACGAGGACAGCACGGGCGAGGATCAGAATGACAATTCTCTGTATGACGACGTCATACAGAACGGCGACGAGGTGGCGTCGATCGGCGGGCACTTCCTAGACGTTGAGAAGTCCATTCCAAAAGCTCAGGCGCAGAAGAGCAATCGGTTACCGCCGATCGTGACTGCCGAAACGCAACACGATGACGAGGTTTCCCTAGACGAGATCGATTCGTCGAAGCCGCTTATGGTAAATGTTAGACAGGACACGTCGCATCTCCACTTAAAAAAAAAAAAAAAAAAAAAAAAAAACACCCTCGCAAACAACTCGCCGCTCCTTTTCCAGGAACCATCGTCGCCGGTGACCAAATATGACCAGAGCGAGCAAGATCAATTCCCACACGGGCCGCGGAATCTCGAGGAGGATGGAGACGCGATGCCGGCTACCCCGCTCACCGGGAGTTCCGTAACCGCTCGCCGGAAACGCTCGGTGACGGTGACAGACCGGAAGGCGCGAAGCGCCGACGTCGGCGTCAGCGGTATCTACGAGGTCATCTCCGAGGCGGATCTCGCCTTCAGTCCGGATGCGCATGCCGAGGCGGTGACAGTCTTCCAGGGTAGGATACGCGAGGAGGTCGTGTACGGTATCTGTTTGCCGATGCCGGGTTTCAGCGCGCTCTTCATCGTCGTCGCGCTCTCAGCAGTCGTTTCCGCCCTCGTTGCCGGCGCGATGTTGCATCGACTGCAGGCGCAGCGAGAGGCCACCGCCGGCAACAGGGAGAGCAATCAGACCGATGTGCACACCAGCAATAACAACGGCTGGCTGTCGTACGGTCTGCTACGCGTACGTTGCACGGCGCGAACCGCTGTTCCGCATAGTCCTGAGGAGCTGAAGCAGACGAACGCGATAGCTTCGCAGGTCGCTGTTGATCAGTCGGTCGAGCGAGGCTGACGATCAGCTTTAAAGGTGCGTTTAAGGAGAGACAATGTGCAATAATATGCTGTACAAAGTATCGTAAATGCGTGCTCGATTATACTCTGTCGAGAGAACAATCGGGTGCAACATGTAGAGGTGGGGAGGAAGAAAACTATCGGCATTAATTGTTCGATTGTCTTCCTGCGAATCGCGCGATGACACCGAGCTCTCGCGAATCGCAGTCGCCGAGGACCCCCTTTCTGGTAAAATACGTATGTAGTCTGATCTTAGCGAATCTATTAGTTTTAGCGTTAGCATTAGCTTTCGTAATATTGTGAATATCATCTTGATTTTCTTTGTTTCTATATTTTGGAATTTTCAAGAATTAATTGAACACTAATAAGTATTGTTATTTTGTCCAAACATTAATTAATTTCGTATTATATTTTGTTTCATTTTTATACAAATTTCTTTTTATACATAAATTTAGTAACTTAATTATTTCAGAATATAGTGTTGAAGAACAAAAAGTACTCTGCTCTCTCTGAAGAATACATATATTACAGGTTATATAATATATACATTAGGAAATTATATATAAAGGCAAACTAAAATAAATAAAAACAAAATAAATAAAAACAAAAATTTCAAAAAAAAATAAAAAACAATTGCATTAAACCAGCGGAAAATTATAACGACGACTTTTTATCGATACAGATAGGTTACATTCTCATGGAGATTTTTTTCGGTGCCTTGATAAATAATAAAAAATCGTAGGTATATCGTGTGTGTGTGTGTGTGTGTGTGTGTATGTGTGTGGAGAGAGTAACCTAAAAAAATTTAAAGTAATGATAATTATTGGAAGTAATCATTATTATTGTATTAGTAATACATTTTTATAAAGATTAAATGTTTTGTCATACAAATGACAGAAACGATACGCAGCTATAATTGTTCCGGCGCGTTAAATTGTCTTCCGGAGATGCGAATGCATTCGGAATTCTATTGTTAACGAATACAATGAGTCACGAAGCGCATCGCTTACAGTTTAAAAAGTTTTTGTTTAGATACTATTAACACAAGTACTATTACATATATATTGTTTATGAGCTGTAGGATACTGAGTTGTCCGGTGCTACGACATTCTATTTACCTAGAGATAGAGATCGCGTTAACGATTTGCTCTAAGGAGGCTAAAAAATAATATTTATCTCGGATGTGGCAAATGTGTATAAAATATGCGTTAACAGTTTTTGCGAAGTATGTGTGGCAGAGGAAGAAAATAAATATTTAATTTTCCAACACACGCCCCCCCCCCCCTTCATCTTCTAAAGCTTCCACGACTCTGCGGGCTTTTGCGCAAGACCTGACGGGAGACTTTACGATTTGCTATTTTTATTTTCTTTAAATCACATGTATAGATAGACTGTCGCAAATCGTAGCACATTATATTATAAACTGTCATCACGAACACATGATTCGTTACGACCGAGTTCTTTATACCTGAATATACGTAAGTGAATGTATTGCTAATGTTCATACCGAAATGTCTTATACAAAAACAACCTTTTTTAAAGATATTTACGGTGTGAATGTTTTTTTTTATACGGCCCATTTCTGTTCTTATGCGAGAACAGGACGATCCAAGCAGATTTTAATAATGGACGGATGATTTAAAGTTACATTTATTTTACTCGTCCAGATTAACTTGCGAGCTGCCAAGTACATAATATTTAAGATTAGATTCTAAGTTATTCATGCATGTATACATGTGTAAAAATTTCCATATGCTTAGATTGAGCAAATTTAATTTAAGCGCAGCATAATCAACACTAGGGAACTAGGTTTGAAGGCTGGCATTGCCTGACAGCGAATGGTATACCGTTCGGGCAAAAGTAAAAGGCGACAATATAATTATTTAGTTAAAAAAGATTATGTTTTTATTTAATATATATAAATAAATAAATAATGGCAATAAATAAATATTTACAAACCTTTAAATATACACAATTGAATTCCAATTATTATTTATTTCGTATACAAAAATACATCAACTGTCTTCACTGGTTAATAAAATAATAAAATGAATGTATGTGAGATTAAAAAAAAAAGAGAAAAATTAGATGATGGGCGGAAATACACAACTCTTGAGACACCTTACATATTAATATATGTAGGTCTATCTTATACACTAGACAGATCACGCTGCAAATATAAACTAATGACTGCACAATTGCGTGTATAACTTATCGAATTAATAACTTTCTTCACTTAATCATTTTCGCATTTTTAATGCAAGTTTTCTTAGTACTGCACTGATATTATAGTAAATAAGTAGTACTTCACTGATCGTAATAATAATATGTAATGCGAAAAGTATAAGTGAGAATTGAATGTCACGATGATTTCATTAACCATATTTTCTCGAGAGCATTGCTTGATATTCATACGACACAACAAAATAAAACACTTTATCTTATAACTGGAATCGCGTAATTTATTATTTATCGATTTATGTAATATTAATGCAACATTTTGGCACAACTTGTCATTTTAAGACGAGCAACTTAGGACGAGCTATTAGAGTTAACACTTAAATAATTAAATACTTTTATATAATTGAAAATTTTCCATTGCGGCGTATTGTGTACGAACGCGTTTATTGTTCATTACTTAATTTATTGATTGCAAAGGAATGATATATAATACTTTTATATCTTATAACTTTATTTCATTTGTTTGCCACATATATATTAGAATTTATTGAATTCTGCCTATAAAAAATATTTTTAAGAAAAAATTTAGATAGATAATAAATATAAATAATTATGTGATATATTATTAACATTATTTAAATGCTGTGTTGTAGGCTATTTTCGCGAAATTTTAGCCTTACTGTTACCCAGTCACATTGTTGAGCAACGATTTGTTAAATGATAGAGTCCCAAATACCGAGAAACAAAGAAAGAGACTAAATACAAATACATACATAGGTAATAAACGCAGAAGTAGATTTGATTATCTTTGACTAAATTTTCGGCGTATATCGCCTATGTTTGCCCATATAGGCCTGAGCTTAAGTTTCATTATGACGAAGCACAATTCCACGTGGAGGCCGCGATACCGAATGACACGAGTACTGCATAGCGTTATATTAAGACAATATCGTTGGTGGTATCCCGTCCCGAAAAAAAAAAACTTCACGTAGAATCGTGCTTGCGACACTCGATAGCCTCTACGAAACCTGAAGATTCGCGATTTCGAAGACCAGTTCATGCAAAGCTTTTCTTGCAGAAGATACTCTGCTGCGACCCGTTTTATTGAGAAATTCTGCGTACGAGTATACATGTAGAAAAATACTGTCAGTTAATGGCCAAAAGTATTTAAAAAAAAAAAAAAGCACGAACGTGATTCTTCTACCCGTTTACCGCTAATTTATCAGCCTGGCGCGACGTGGCGGCCGAGACCAATTTCCTTTTTCCTCCGCGCGACCGCATTCGTTCTACGGACGTACTGACCTCCAACGACGGTTTCAACGATATCGCATAAGAGAACCGCGTAAACCGGTTCTTCCGAGAAGAGGGCCGTGCAATTTGACGGTTACTCTTCCGGCGCGGATATCGGGATCGCGATGAAATTACTCTGGGTGGACACACGGCAATTTAGTGAGGATATCTCTATGAATAGAAGCACGTTCTCGAAGATTTCTTCGTTACGCCGATGTTCTGCTCGACGGCGCTGGATTTCTTAGCCCTCGCCGAGAAGGGCCTGAGACGCATGAAGAGATAGGCCGAGAGCACGCACGAAGAAAGTAGAATAGCGAGTAGTACGATGAGAGTAATCGCGAATCCGGGAGTGGTCATGCAGATCATGGTCGAGCTAGCTGCGTTCTCGTGAACACGTTGCGGAAAGACCATCGTCGGCCCGCCGTTCAACAGCTGTTCGCCGCTGTTGTTGCCCTCGTCGATGGAGAAGGTCAGGTCGCCGGTGGAGACCACCCGGATGATTCGATTCACACCGACTGCCTTCTGCGGATTATGCGAAATTTCGCGGGACTTTCTTCTTCTCTCGTCCCGAGGCTGTCCAGCCGCCGCCTGTAAATAGGCCTCCAACGGTAGAGGGATCGGAGGCGGTAAACCGTATCCGACATCGGGATGCCCGTTTATCGACGCGTGATGATGGTGATGATTCTCTAAGAGACCCTGACTCTCCAGGAAGGGCGACGATTCTGAGCACTGTTCCGGGCACTGGTACCGGCAGATCTGTATGGTGCATTGGAAATGAACCTCCATGGAGTCCGGGAATTTAAAGGCCTGGAAATGGGCGTACGACAGCACCGACGCCGAGGCGCCAAAGTTCTTAATCTTGGTGAATCGAGACATCAGTTTAGGCCGCGTTATGCAGCCGCGCTGATCCACCAGCTGTATCGGCGCGCGTTTACCGTCATGCGCCATGCAGTTTCTCACGAGCATGTCAAACTTGGAATCGTCGTCCTTGATCGCAAGCACCATCGTCATAGTCTGACCGATCTTGACAAGTCCCGAGACCTCGGAGGCCCACGGTCCCTTCCCCACTTGTATCTGCATCCAGCATCCCACGTTGTCACCGGCAAAGTCTGCGCGTACCACGTCCAGCATGTCGACGGGGAACGGACGGAAGGTGACCGACTTCTCGTACAGATCGTGCCAGGTGCAGCGCAGCTTGCGCGCCTGATCCCAGACCTCCTGCACCTGGGGATCGTACTGTACCACTATGATGTTTTCGAAGTACGTCCCGGAACCAGACTCGGCGCCGTAGCCGTATAATCCGTTCTCCGTATTACCGGCTGTGCCGCACGCGTGTATGCTGATCTCGAAGTTGACGGACGTGCGACCCAGTCCTGCCGGCAGGTGAACGCAATTTACATTGCTATAGTGGCCCTTGCTAAAGACAATACCGTAAAACGGCTTGTCGAAGCCTAGGTAAACCTTCATCAGATTCTTCTCGCATTTCACGTCCAGCGACACGATTTTCGGCATGTCAGGCGTCGCCACCGGCCAGGGTTCGACGCCGACCGCGGTGCTGATACCGCCGCCGCCGGTCGTGTAAATCTTATCCATCGCTTCCGGTTGCGCTTTGGAAGGCGGCAAGGGCGGCGGCGGACCGTGATAAGCAACATTGTGATGCGGACGCGGCAGACTTAACGCACCTCGGCCCGGTGGTAGCAGAGGGTGGCCCCGGAGAGCACCTGGCTTATAGTGATTTCCTCCCGCATCTTTATCCGCTATGGAATCCAGTGCCAATTGATCGGAATTACTTAACTCGTTGTCCTGGCGATTTAGCGCCGAATTTTCGTTCCGATTATCCTCCCCCGGAATCGCCTCGACGACTTCTACTTCTTCGGCTTGAGCCAGCTATAACAAGAATACGAGCAGCCATAATGCCATGTTGTGCGACGAATAGATTAGATCCTTGTCTCCAATCCTCTTAAACAAAAGTACCGCAAGTTCAAAAAACGATCGAAGGAACGGATCAATTAAAATATGACCGTGCTCACCGCGAATGTAAGAATTTATTAGATTCCTGTAAAACTAGTCACGTATTTATGATACTGCTTTTTTTCTATCTCCTCGCTTCTTTTCGTATCATTAATTATTTATGTCGCATTCGATGTGTGTTTACGATCGATTCAATGAGGCTACATTATCATACCCGGGATCCCATTCGCGAATCTTATTTTTAGCATTAATCTCGCGCGCGTCGATGTATATTTGCGGATGTTGCTTTAGATATACGCTAATTTTTATACGCATATATATATATCCGATATATATATATATATATATATATATATACCGAAAAGAAGAAGAAGAAAAAAACGACCATACAACGGTATCCGCTTCTCACGCGCTCAATGGAAGGCCTAAGTGTGTCAAGCTCGACGGAATCGCGACGCGCGCGCGCCGAGAAATGCGGAGCGGGCTCGATTATCGGATCAGACAAATGGAGCGATCGTCGAAAGAGTTATTTCCGGTGGCGCGACAGCCGTAGGTGACACGGTGCGAGAGGACGGGGAGGAGAGGAAAAAAAGCGACAAACTTGTTCGTCGTCAGTTCGAACGAACGCGACATTTAATCGCAATGAAGAGAGGTCGGGGGAGGAGGGTAGGGAGCCCGCGACGGAATAGGAGCAACGAGTCGGTTGCGTATAGAACTTGTACGTTTTATAGTGGCCGATTGCGTCACGCGTGTGACCTTAGGGCATAACGGACCACCCGTGTCTTTAGCCGCGGGTCAATCGGCCAGTTCCGCGCGGAGCGTGCACGTTCTTCGGCGCGGTTCTCCTTCTCATCCCCCTGTCCCCCTCCCCACCAGCTCGCTCTACCCCCCCGTCCACTTATCTCGTCTCATGGATTTTCAATGCGCGCGTCCCATAATTCGCGACAGACCGAGGCCTACTGAGTCACTTGCGGCGGATCTCGATGCCGGAGAAGCGTTACAGCTGATGGCGGTCCACCATGAATGGGGAATCACGCTACCACGTTATGTTACGTCAAATGCATTCCGATAATCCTCGTTTCGTCTCGGCGAGTGTTATTCGAAATACCTTGTGTTCGACGAATCGACACGATATTCTTTTTTATTCTATAAATAAATTAACATAAACCACGGAAAATGTGGATACGTTAATATATAAATAATTATATTACATTTCCGCAAATTTTTTTTTTCTATGGTTATCAAATTTCTCGGGTATCCGCAATAAATTCTCAAAACCCGTCTAGAAACAAGTAACTAGATATTTCGATAAAACCGTTATCTCGCATAATTCACAGAGATATCGGCGGTGGACAGACGGGGAACACAGAAGACAGAAAGCGCGCACCGTTCACGTGGACGCGGTAACGACGCGCGCGTTTCATTCATATCCCGTTCTATCTCGCCATCGTTCTCTTATAAGGCTAACGATAATCGTCGACCGAGAGGTTGAGACCGGGAAATAAAGAAGACGCGCGCCGATGAGCGCACATGTGCATCGAAAATTGTGTCGGGCCACAGGAATGCAGCAATGAAAAGGGTACACCGACCGCGCGCGCGTGCAAAGAAACCGGTCGTTCCGCGCGCGGGATTTTTGTGCATCACCTTGTAAGAGAGCGGACCCGATGAAACATTACTCGGGTCTCCTCCGCGGTAGACAGCAGCGGCGGATCAGAGCACCGCTCCGCGCACCATTTTGAGACATCGGGACAACCGAGTCGAACCGGGCGAGTTCTGCCCTTAGCTCTGGGTCAGAGCACTGGGTAACGGCATTGCCCGGCCACGTGCTTGTATATCCGTCGCGATATATCTGGGTTATAATGTAGTAATTACCTACGCGCAAAGAAAGGGAGGGAGAGATGCGCGTCTATCCCCCCGTACCGGTCGCGTCCCCAGGTGGTGGTCTCGCTCGAGATGAAACAGAGCCAATGGCAATATGTGCGACGTATGTGTCCCCGCGAATCTCGTTCGTCGTCTTTCTTTCGTCTCCCAAGAATGCGTTAGATCGACGACGATGTTACACACAATGATAATCGTACACCTTTACGATGATCGATCGGATGCAAGATGCAAGACCGCCGTCTTAACTCTCTCCGTTTAACGCGCATTTTCTCGGAAAAGCGAGGAAAGTAAAAAATGTAATTTCGCTTACCCCCTTTAATAGGAGACAGGCTAGGATGTAAATGCGTAACTGCATGCCGCGTTGGCGTCCACGGTGGAACAGTATACTCGTATCACTGAAATGAGAAAATATCATGTATTGTTGAAATGAGGATTAAATATTTTGATATACATTATAATATACAGAATATAATAACTTAATAAGAAAAATTTGAAAATTTCGAAGTAAATAAAATAAAAATATTTTATCATGTTAATTTAATCTACGGTATATGTGTATGATGTATGGGAGAGTTTTATTTTTTTATTCAAAATTAAGTACATAAAACTCTTTTCAAAAGAAATTTGTTGTGAAGATTACAGGCAACAAGAAATCTGATGTCAAAATCAAATTCAAAACAACCAATATAAAGAATGTTAAAATTAAGAAATTCAGCTTTTTGCAAAAATTCATGTATGCAGGGGTTTTTTAGATTAAATGTGTGTGAATCCAATATAAAATTTATAATATAATATAGCCGTTGTAAAGTAGCTGATTAATTGTAATTATTTTTGCAGTGCAATAGATCGAATATTTGATCATGAAAATTTTATTATATAATTTTAATATGTACAACAAATTACTTTTGAACTTCTAACAATATAAAAGTTCTAACACAATATATTTAATTTTTAATAGAATAAAACTTTTCTAGCACATACCGTAATTACAGAATGGATGAATTACATTAAAAAAGGTGTTTTTACAAGTTTACCGTAGCTATATTGTAAAATGTTAGAAAGACAAAAATTATATTAAGTCTAAAAAAACTACAAGAAATGATTATTTTTCTTCTTGAATTTCTTTTCTCTTGTTGAACTATGTAATTTAACTGTACTAATTTTGTGCAATAAACAAATTTTCGCGAGCCGAATAGATCGACGAAAAAGAAGCTTTGCACGATTTCTGAAACGATCTGCACAAAAATGGCATTGGCAGCCGAACAGCAGTTTAAAACTTATGTTAACCGTGGAATAATTTACCTGTAATTATAATTGTACGGCCAAATGTAGCCCTCTAAGCCGAGAGATCGTCTCTCACAATGAATCGCAGTTAACGATCTTGAGCGATCTTCTCGTCGGCGTAATCTTCGATTGCTCGATGCAACCGCGGCCTGTAATCACAAGTTTTTAACGAACGTAAAGAAATTCGTAATTAGGAAGGTTTTTGGGAAGCGGAAACATCGATTTTGTCAAATTATTTCAATTGCTTTCTAATATCTCAAAATACAGAATAATAATTAGTTAGCATAGTAATTAAATAAGCATAAAATATTTAAATGAAATATATCTCGATAATTGAATTGTACTCAAGAATTAACACATTGACTATTTGTATTTTACTACCCAAAGCTTGTGAATGGAGCGAGCTTTAAAGCGATCGCAAAAAAATGCCAAGATTACTGTTAAGCGCTGTAGGACAGCTTGTTGTCGCGTTTCGCTCGTATTTGATCGCCAATTATCAGGTGACGTGTTCGCCTCGCGCAACCACTAGGCCATCTGTCCCAAATTCCTCCCAAATGTCCTGGTTTTTACTCCGTTATCTCGTCGAAACCGCAGTCTCTGTCTATCGGCGCGAATCAAATTCGCAAGATTTGCAGAAACACACGTGAAACTCTCATTGGGAATAGGATAGTGCGCTGCTGTTCTCACGCGAGCTGCTAAATAAATTGTCCAACACAGATACTTAATGGCTTGCACCTTTCAGCTCGAAACGACGATGAAATAACGGGCTACCGGGATATAATTTTGTCACACGTATCTTCAACAGCGGCAGTGAAAAGAGACGCGACTAGAGTATGTCATCTGACTTGTCACACATACCGCTATTCTGCATACACATGCGGAACGGAAGCCAGATTCTTGATGCAACTTTCTTTTCTTTAACCAAAGTACCTAATCAAGGAAAAAGGAGGAAGTGTGTAAACGGAAAAAAGAAATGATCAATACACATAACGACGCTTGTTGAGACTTTTATTGTAGAGAGTAAATTAGAGAGACGGTAATAGAGAAGGCAATCGGTCGTAAACGGTGGGTGAGTAAATTTATGTCGCGAGTATAGATACTAATCTGTCTAATTGTCGCTCTCGGATTTTAACATCGAAGAAATACTCTGTGAGAATACCTCCGCATCCAGATATTCCTCTTTGACTTTATAATTTTATCTTATCTATTTCTTTTAATTTTTGGCATATTTCGATTTCTCGATCATTGAGTCTCAAATTAAAAATCTATTTATAAAAAGGAGGATCAAAATCTCGTTCGTATATAATCGGGGAACGACGCGATTGCTTTCGCGCGCGCGCACGAAAGAGAAAAGACCGGAGGAGAGACGATACGCGGAATACCTGCGCGCGTTAATGTGTGCATTCCCGATGTCCGAGTGGCATGTTTGACGCTCTATGAATGTAGGCAAGTAGGCTCCTGCCAGCCATTGATCAACGTTCGGTCGCGCGCACGTGGAACCGAAGTCAAAAGGACTAACCGGTTAATCGGGCGCGGTCGCCGGGCGACAGCTGTTCGTCCAATTTGCGAATACTCTACTGGTTTTGTACACTCTCGCGATAGATTGTAACACATTTAAAACTTGACCTACAAACGACACGCTTGGGTCATTCGATCATTTAAGACTCGTCCTGATATTTTTAAGCGTAGCTCGTTTCTAATGATCGCTTAACGTAATATGTTTGTAATAAAATATTTTATAGTATGCGCAAAAGTGACAAATAAACATGTTATACATGTATAATAGCTGTTACATTTCCGCGCGTATTTTTCTTTATAAAAAAATTTTATTTTTGCTTGCATAAAGAAATAAATTTTTTAAAATTTTTTCAGAAAGGAACTATTATTTTTATAAATTTTATTTCAAAGAAATAGTATATTTATCGATTACTTTTACTTGATCAATTCTTGTATGAGTAAGAAATTGTCGTGTTTCTGAAGCTACAATTGTTAAAATGAGATGTTAAGAAAATTGTTTTGACACTTTCTATAATTTTACGATTATTTTCTGGAAACATCAAATTGTTCAAAGAAATTTATAGTTATTCTTTTTAATACAGATAATTATTTAAAAAAATTGTAGCTAGACATGAATAATTTAAGAGCAAAATTAAAGCGCTGCAATTTTATATAAATTACATTGAAATAATAATTTAATTGGTTTTCTTTGAAGGTTTCTTAAAACCGCTTTTCAGGATTGTTACCAAAAAAGATACATAGATGCTAATATCGCTGCATCCAATCGCAAAATCGAATCAAAATCTAATCAAATCTAATCAATATAATTCATCTAATTAGACACATTTCAACAAAATATCAACAATGTCGCAAATTTTAATTGTTATAACGTATTTAGAACGTATACAATTCGCAAGCATTCTTATAGCAAAGTTGTATATTAGCTGTTATTCTGCTCTTACAATTTGTGTCACGATAAACCGTGACACCTGTCCTTCCTCTTACAGGTTGTCCGTGTACTTGAATAAAAATCACCACGGTCTCGACTGTTTACACGTCTCCCGTTCCGCGTTAACCATGTATCGGGTATGCCGAAGATGTGGCGTGGTGCCAAATACATATAACGGTTCCGTCAGTGTGGTAATTCCAAAGTCGGGCGTTCGCATAATGAGCGCCTAATAGCGACCCATATAGAAAGAATGTAGCTTCTCCGTGTGTTTCTTCGTCCCCACCTTCCCTCGTTATCTGCTCTCCCGCATAACGAACGTCGCGTTATAAACAACGTGTGTAACGCTAACATTCGGAAGTAAAAACGAGTGCGCACACGTCTCGATAAATTTACATTATATATTATCCGCTTCCTGCTTTAATAGATTTATAAGCACCTGCCATCTAATATACCTGTTCCACTTCTCTCCTCTTTTTTTTCAAGGTTTTATCTCGGCCGGTTAACTCGATTGAATCTCGACAACGCTGCGTGCAATTTCTCGGGAATAACGACCACACATTCGCGACGTAACTTAATCATCCGTTGAAGATAGTCGGTGTAATCTCGATAAATTGAAATCAAACGAATCGCGAACGGGAGGTTGTATCCGAGTCGCAATTATAAGACGCGTATATCAAATATCGATAAGCGATAAGTAGATGCGCGCGTGCCGTCTGTATTACTCGTCTTACTTGTCCGCGATGCGGTAATTGCACGGTAATCGAGCGTAACGAAGAGTAGCCGGACGATTCGATTGCTTCTCCGTACATTTGCGATTCAAAGAGGCCGCTGCTTATCTACGAAGTACGGAGCGCGTAACAAGAATTGCGCGTTGATTTTTAATAAATATACAGGAATTTATACCAAATATATAATAGAATTCTAATTCATAAATATTAATAATGATATGATATTAATATGGATATATTATTAATATATCCACGCGCAATTTACGAACTTGATCTATTAAATAAATTTCAGAGATTTTAAATAACGATAGCTGCAAATTGTTATGTGTGTGTGTGTGTGCGATGCGTATTCGTATCTTTAAATTAAAAATAAATATATATTTAAAAAAATGTATGTATATTTCACCATTTTCTGATAAAAACCCAAGTACCTAATCGTAAGAAAATTCACGATCTACTTTTTCTAATGTATGCTCGACCTCGTTGGTTTACGCACAACGGCATGCAAAAGTAGGCGCTTTTTAATTAACAATGCGGTGATTGTTTTGCTTTTTTTTTTCTTTTTTTTTTGCGATAATACATTGATAATATTAATTTATATTTACACGCAATTATAATGATAAACAAAATAAATCACGATAATAATTTTGGAAGTTTCAGACAATATGGTAAAGCAAGTTCGTGCTGGGTCCGTTGCACGTATGGTTCGATAAAACGGTAACGATTATCACGTGGCCGGCAATATCTCCTGCGGCTCGACGTATAATTTCTCTCACAAGCCTTGCACTCCGGTCGTGCGTTATTAACACATTAGCGAAGTGCGAACGGTGACGTGCGATTTACTTCTAATAACTTAATCGGTGACATAGCGTTAATTGAATTACTACGTGCAATGTACGATATTAACCACCGGACTCTTAAGACAAGAAGCACGTTTAATAGCTACGAATTACCTATAACGATGCTCGCACACGTAGAATAGTCTGGGATTAAATCACCGCTGTATATTGCGCACATTACAGTCAGCTGTCCACACGAAACGAACACGTGTTCGGAACGACGCGTGGATAATACTTTAGCCGTTGGTTCCCTTCATCGCAAAGGACGAGTCTCTCTTTATTAATATATCGGGTGTTCATCGACGATAGGTTTTTTTCTCACTACTTGTCTAAAGCAGCTCAAAAGTGAATCGTGCAATTGAACTTATATGTAGGATAAGGACGGCAAATAAAGAAGTGACCGCATTTTCTAAATTGGCGCAATGATACCTTATTTTCTTGAGTCGATACCCAAGTGAATCCGGAGTGGTTGTCAAGTTTACTTGGTCTTCCTTCAAGGGGGTGTCAGATGAACGAAACGTTACCACATCGATCGATCGGGATCGTACGTTAAAAGTCCCAGGCGCACAATTCCGTCCGATTCCGCGATTTGCGGACGCTGCTGTTGGCGAAGCGCCGAATTTCGCGTCCGCTCGAATAAGATTTATAAGAGCCCTCGGAAGCTTCGTGCGTGCGACTGATCACCTCTCTTCGTGGTGACGCGATACTCCGCGATGCCCGCGACAGCTAGAGAAAGAGACGCGAGCGGGGCGGCGTGTGCAGCCGGTCGCCGATCACGGAGGTGCACGCGGGAACCCGAAGAGCCTCGGAATAGGGTACACCTGTCCGATATACGGAGTATACTACAAACGTAGCGGCCCGCCCCCTGACCCAGACAGCCGGTACAGTTATATAGGTCCCTCGTGCGGCGAAGGATATCTCTCTCCACACGCTACATTCGCTGTGAGTCTGCGACTCGATGAACGATGCCTCGTTTTCGTGTTGTATTCGTGTTTGCGAAAAGAGAAAGAGAGAGAAAGAGAAAGACACAGAGAGAGGGAAAAATCTGTGTGCACCTACATCTCACCGGGATGTCAATGATACCCTATGCACACCGCCTGGGGCAGAAATAACGTGGGGGTGTTTGATGTAGTGATAAATTGACGATGAAAGTATCGAGTCCGATACCTCTCGATGATAATCAGAGGATCTCGATTAGAAACCTTGGCAACCTTTGACGACACATCCGTATATCTTATTAATTTTTTAGTATATGTATGCTAGGAAAGCGCTCGTAAAGGAGATTAGATTAGTACGGAACACTCGTCGCGCTCTTTCTGCAATGTCCCGTATTTGTACGTCTTATTGAATTATACGCGAATGAATGATAAAATATTAATATGTTGCCGTCATACTTAAATTGATGATACTAAATATGCGATATATTACACGTTGTGCACACACATATATCTGAATCGATATTTAAAATCTATACACTTGCCATAGCTCATCTTTGCCCTCTATTTGCCATTTATCACAGCGACTTTCGCATTCTCATAAGAATGGAGTACTCGTTAAATGTTCAATGACGTTTAACTGTTCTGCATTTCACCCGCTACTTAAACATGTTAGATAGAATATATTTATTAATTAACGATCTGTGACGTAGCTATACATAATGTCCCTAATCCGCCGCATTACTGCTTAACGATAGATGCTGCATATTAAAATTAGGAAAATATATGTTTAAGAAAATATTTCAACAATTTTATTGCATAGAGAAATGATTATTTTTAACATAATATAGATAAAACTATTATATACTATATACATATATAAAGAATATATATATATATATATATAGCTTCTCTAAAGCATTGCAAATAAAATCTTACAAGCACAATTTATTACAAAATAATTTATTACATTTTTTTTTGTTCCATGTTAGTTAACTTATTTAATTTAAAAGAAGAAACAGTTTTTATTATTAAATTATATTTAACTGAAAATGAACGAATGAATCTAATGATCAAGTTAGCTAAAATATGTTTAACTGATTATATCATATAAGTTAGCAGTCTCTGACGTTGCAGAAAGCAGCAGTATACAACGAATGCTGATAATTTATCGATCAGCGGTTACGCAAGAAGTACATTTATCAACTAAATTTATAATAACTTTTATCTCAAAAACATTTATTATATATGTACGCATACTGAATGCATACATTTGAATATGTACCAAATTATTGGTAAAATATTATTTGAAGATACATAATTCTCTCTCTTTCTCTCTGTGTGTCGATAAATTATCATGTCTATCGAATAAGCTGAAGATAATGTGATACAACCGATCGTCCATAATAATGGTACGTACGAGTCTCGACTCAAACAGTTCTATGCATTAAAAATATACAAATAAAAATAAAATATACATATTATAATATATCATATTAATTATTAAAAATAACAATATATAAATATTACATTATTTATACCGAATAATGTAAAATAATATTATTGACCACAATACTAACATCTTTTAACAGCATCTTTTTCCTTTGGCAAAACTTACGGAAATGCATCGATTTTCGAGATTCTGTAATCTGTAATATGTTGATGTAATGTATTTTCTTGATTTTTACGTAAATAATTCCTCACGTAAAAATAGACATAATAATTTGATAATTTTTATATCTATATATTATAATTATCTCTAATATTTTTTTATAATAAAATAGTTGAAAAAATTTTATTAAGTTAAAATAAAACAAATTTTCTTGTGATAGCAAAGTGTATTTTTCTGCAAAAGACTAACAAAATCTCTAACAAAGATCTTTTTTTATTTTGTTATATTACTCAATGTTACAAATTGCAAATGTTTAATAAAAATGGAGATATATAACTTTTTATGATATTACCTCTTATATCTTATGATATAATGATATAATCTCTGCAACATGGATGATATAAAAAATGAAATATCTCGAAAGAAAACGATGCATTCCGGAAATTTTGTCAAAGAAAGAAATGCTTATTTTTTTTTTTTAACGAGGAATACAATTGTATCTATTTTTATCCTAGGAATATTCTGTACATATATTTTGTATTATATTTGCACTATATATAATGGATGTGTACACATCAAATAAAAAATATTTTACTTAGTTAAACTATTGCTGGAGACATTGAAGTCTCTTGAAATATTTTATATCTTTGTGCGGTAAAATCCTTGATATGCCACTTATATGTCACATTATGGTAGATTAATATGACATTTATGTAATTGTTCAGCTTTATACTCGACATTTATAACACGATTGTAGACGAATTATGTGCTGCTATCAAACATCGAGCATAAACAAAAAAATCATGTCTACTGCAATAAGATTGTTCTCTCAGTGATCTTAGTATTGCTTAACTGGAAACGTCTTTTGAATTGGAAACTTGTTGCGCAAAAAGTATCCTGATAAAAACATGAAAACTGCAAATGTATTACTCGTTTTATTCGGTCTATCGCTTGTGCTAGTAAGTAATTTAAAATCGTTGTACGTGTTAATAAGTAAAATCATATATGTTGTCTTACAAAATTTTTTATCGAGAAATTTTTTACTGTTGCAAACATTTTAAATAATTTTACAAACTGCATTTTGGAATACAAGATAGACATTCAAAGTTTATATATTTCCATATATTTATACGCATAATTTAATTATAGTATAGTAATAAAGATAGTCTCGGTACATTATACAATATTCCGATATTTAAATCTTAGAAGTATCGAATAAATAGACAAAAGAAAATTTTTGCTAATTAGTGCATTTATAAAATTTATTCAATTTTATATGTTCGAGCACGAGCGGATATCAAACGAGATTGTCGACAGCAAACGAATGTTTCTTGGGGTAATGATATTTTTTATATTGATCGCATATATAATTGAAAAGAATAAATTCGCTTTTCTTAATTGGATTATTTAATCTAGCATCCTTAAAACGATTGAAGGCCGGCAACGTCGAGGAAAATGATATAAAATTGAAATGTTATTTGAGATGCTTTATGATAAAGAGTGGTATTCTTAACGAAAATAACAATGTAGATATCGAGAAAGCTCTGCGTCATCTTCCGCGTAGTATGCAAGAATCGTCAAGAGAAATTCTTAATCGATGTAAATTGATTCGTAAGTCTTCTTATTGCTTTATCATATATTAGTAAGATCAATTTCTTTTTTTTATAATTAATATTAGTTATACATGTGTACACGAGTTCGCACACTGCATTGCATGCTTTTCTCTCTGTATAAAATGTATGGAATACGATGAGTTTGTAAAAGTAAAATTGATTGTTAGCAAAATTAATTAAAAAATTAATTTTAGCAGCGGAAAATGCTTGCGATAAAGCTTTTCAAATAGCCAAATGTTACGTTAAAGCACATCCAGAAGTAAGTATTATAAAGTAGAAATTGTTTAATTAAAATATAGAATTTATAATTATAAAATATAGTTATAATTAAAATTCTTTTGTAACCCATGTGTTTTATTCGCAGGTTTTAAAGAATGTATCATTTGTTTAAAGATGATTGCTTTGCGTTTAAACACATAAAGCACTGCATCGGCAGATAGAAGTAGTAATATGATATAGCTCTATTCACTTCCATGCTATTTTATTAAAATTGTTATATTATTAAAAATATATAAAGAATTATTTTCCTGTAGTTTGCAAATATATTTATTTTTTATTGCCTTAAATGACATGTGTTTATATTCACATACAAATATACTTTCATGCATCGATAAAGACAATTCTCTTTTTAAATTTAAGAATTTTTAATTGCAATTTATTATATAATATAAAACTTAAAAAATATATGTAAGTATGTTTATTCGAAATATTTGGAAAATAGATGCCGATAGAAATAGATGAATGACCATGGTAACGCATAATATTTGTTTGTAATTCATGTAAAATTTTTTTTTGCACTCAACACTACGCACTTTGCCGTAATTTCAAAATTTCTTTAGGATAAAAGAATTGATCGATTAAAACGCCCACTTCTCGTAACATCATAAAAGATCATCATGTGTGATCATTGTGCGTAAGTAACTCCTTATCCTTATACATCATATGAAACGATTTTAACCTCGTTTTTTGACGTGTAAAGAATGATAATATGTGATACATATACATAAGCAAAAATAAAATTAATTTTTTATTTATATGACACAATGTTGCAAATTATCTCATGAATAATGTTATAGCACATTATGAACTTTTTACTTTTTGATATAGCGTCACATGTATATGTATAAAATGCTGATGTGATCCTTTTTATAGCAAAATTACTAGTCAAAAAGGATACACTGGTCAAGTGACTTGTCGATGCGACCAGTAAGTTCTCATACATATTTATGAATTTATAAATACATTTGTATAAAATTATTTTCTATAAAGTTGCACCATGTTATTTGTTTGAACGATTAATGCTTTCTTTTGAATGTTCATACTTTGTTTAGCGTGTGCCGATAAAATAATTTTTAAAAAATTAAAAAATTAATATTATACAGTTCATTCAAATATACGCATAGTATGTACATATATACTATGCATTATGCTTGCAGGGGCGAGAAGAAGACTGATGTGGTTAAGGAGAAAGATTACGGCGGATGTTGCAGCAAAAAGTAAAGAGAGTATAATAAGAACTTTTAACTTAGAAAAAAGTCACAGGTTTTTAGACACCTATATGGTCGCCTGATTACGCGATAACGGTTTTACGGGCGTTGCGACGCGCAATTTCCTCTCAGGGACCTTGATAATTTAGTGATTGTAACTCGACTAAAAATGTGCAGAGAAAAAAAAGCATACGGAGGATGTTGCGGTGCCAAATGTTGCGCCGGTACGAAGGAGGAGCAAAGCGGATGTTGTAGCGATGCCAGCACGGATCGTAAGAGCTGCTGTCCACCAGGAAAGTAATCGACGGTCCTACTTGAGTCTTACAAGGTTAAAAAGGCGGCCATATGGGCTATCTCGAATTAATTCGTGAATTTGCTCATTGAATTCATTGTTATGACTTTCGCTCGAATATTAAGTGCTCATCAGACACATCCACTTGTTATTATTCTTATATATTATATTTTATAAATCATCTAATATCTCATTATCACGTTCTTTTTTTTCTCTTACTAGAGCGAGAGAGGCAGCCGGTGGTTGCTGCATGTCCGGATGTTGCAAACAAAACAAAAACGAAAAGAATGAGACAAATCCAGCAGCCGCTGATTGCAACAAGCAGATGAAGGATACCGTAGGAAAATGTTGTAGCGAAAATCGTAAATAATTTTGAAAATATATTTACAAACGTATACATCCTAATTAAAAGATAACACCTTTCTGCCATTTCTGTTCTACGTATATCTCATGAATCAATGATATATAATAAATATAACAGTATTAAAATTTGAACGTATAATGTCGATTTATGATTTCCATATGAATGCTGCGAATTTTACAAAGCGTACCAGCAATTCTACTTTGTTTATATTTTACGCAAAATTATTGCGGGATGGCGTTGTTGCTCCGATAAATTACGTTTCAATTAATAAAATGTTCATCACGTAAATACGCAACACGATAAGATTGCCATTTTGATTTTAAGCGCGTATCGTTAACACATGGGAATAAAAACCGAAGCGAGATGATAATCCAAATATAATAAGATTATAAATATATACATATAATCAGGAAGTAATTAAAAACTGAGTAGGTCGGTGTGTATTATGACGTCATGTGTAAAGAAAATCCACGTCATGTCCATGTATATCCGCGACGATGACGTAAAGAAGCAGGGTGCCTTGAGCAAAAGTTGATAAGGGTAAAAATGCGTGTGTATGTGTCTGTGTGTATTTGCGTGTATGTGTGTGTGCCCGCGCGGGGATGATGCGGCTCGATGCGACGCGCAAGCGCGACGGGTGCGGAGCTTTTCGAGCCACGCGATAGTAGCAGTCGGCCGTCTAAAACCGCGAAACACGTAACCCGCGTTCTCGTTATAGGAAAAGTATCCCTCTCGTGAGGCTCTTCTCGGTCGAGCCACCCCTTTCCCCGCTTTTAATCGCGTATGTATGTGCGGCGTTTAGAGGGAAAATTCATGGACGTGTCACGTACGTTTTCCCGTACCCTTCCTCGATCATGCTCCTTCCCGTTCGCTCGTGCCTGATACCGACATCCGACAACGCGAGCCGAATCACAGCTGATATCAACAGCACCGTCGCTGTCATCATTGTCTGTGCCGCGAACAACGTAACAACGTGACATCAATCCCGGTGAATCGATTGAATCGAACCGGCGATCGGGAGAAGCCGTGACCTTGACGATTCACGTTGCAAGCGGGATATACCAGATTAGACGGGAAGGGGGGGGGGAGGGGGCAATTAACGCGCGTTATCCGACGATGATGCGCTAATGGAGAACGATCGCGGTACCCGCGTTATTATCCTCGGAAGAAAGAACACATGATTGCTTTGCGATGCACGTAGGATATACAGTGGTGCGTACAACCCCCTCCCTACTTTCCTTTCACGCGCTTCTTTATTTAATAGCACTCTTTCTACCGTCTCGGAAACACTCTTTTTCAATTTAACTGATTGAACGAATCAAATCACCGAATGAGTAGATCTGCAATATTGATTGTTCAGTTTTCCACACATTTGTTGCATTAATATATGTACGCTATCCATGAAGGATTCTATGCTGGATCATACAAAGAAATAGTTATAAATTCCGTAACAGCAGCTTCTTTTATTAATAATAATTTATAAAAAAGAATAACCTTCTTATGTGCGGATCAATATTAAATTTTATTCCGATTTTTTATTATCTCTATTTATTTTTTTTTAATTATCTTAAAAATCAAACATTTTGAATATCTCGAAAATTAACACAAGTACGGCCAGATATGCAAAACCATCGTTAAGGAAGGTTGCATCCTAAATTCTATTTCAATGTCAATTTTAAAAACTTTCGAGGTTTATTACGTTATATTTGAGTAAATTAATTCAAACTTTCTTATATAGAAAAATATTTTACATTTTCGAAATGAGATATATTATGTGAAAAAAATTAACGGAGTTTTTGCAACTTTATATATAATATAATTAAATATTAGATAAAATTGGTTTCGCCAATGTACACACACAGCAGATTTTAATATTAAGGGCACTTTTACAATCACATCCAATCATTGAATTTTTATTTTTTAAAGTTTTATATACTTTTTTCAATATTTAAATAATGTTTTAACGCTTGATCAAATATTTCATTTAATACGTTCTGTATTGAAAACTGCACATTGTAATGTTCAGACGTCCAAGAGGTAAAATTTACGTCAAATCGTTCAACGAGAATAGGGAAAAACAGCGGCAAAAGAGATATCTACTTTCTAACAAAACGGGATTACTAAAGATTGAAAATGTATCGAAAGAGCATTCGCCATTCGATCAAAGACTGCAAGGATCACTTAACGTTACATGTCTCTTACGTTAGTCGAGCAGATTAACATTAACAATAAATATTCTAACAATGTAAAGTTTCCTGCATATAGTGTTTTAATTTCGTGTTTATTTTTGCTTTTTTTGCAAAAAATACGTTTGCATAAGAGTAACATTATGTGCTAATTAAGAATTTAAAAGTTTAAAGACCAAAAGAGAAAAAAATGATATCCGTATAGTATCAAGCTACACGTATGTAGCAATTATATTCGCATACTCATAAATTGCGCCGAGTAATTTCCAAGTTTAATTCTGCATCTCTAACCATGTAGAAACATTTAAAAAAAACGGATTTAAATCATTCAATTATGTCAGCATGAAGAATCATCTTATTATGAAATGAAAGGGGAAAATTCTTTGGGATATTTTTCCCTTAATTCATTACGTTACATTAGTTATTCGTGTCTAATCGTGGCAAGAGTAAAAGATAAGAATCATAATTCAAAAATTATTAATGTGAAATCTGAAGATATCTTATTTAATTTGAGATCTCTCTGAAATCTGAAGAGAAAATTCGCGCGAGATATAATGCACGTATTAATAGCGAACTATTTCGTATATCGATTTGATATTGGAGTGACGTGGAATTCATCCTCATTCTCGTTATTAAAATAATTCAGCATTAATATAACCATTTATCTATCCATGCAAACAGATATTCTTTACCGAAGATTAACTAAATCTTACACGTGTAAAATAAACGAGTATGTCTGGAGAGTTACAAATGATTAATAGACTATTGACACCCACTGACTTCCGGCTTACATGATTACCGTTTGGCCAATCTTATGCAATTTTGCAATTGACCGCGAGGGAGTCATACAAACGGGAATGTGATATCAAGCCTTGTAAAATAGATTTCTCTTTCCTCTTCGACTCAGCAAATGTTAATTTATGCTATTATTTCATGTTGTTTTGGTATCTCGTGACGAAAGATTTTAGTAGAAACAATACTAAAATTATATGATAAAGGATATTTGTCTTTGACAATTATATATTCTCGATATTTCATCTTTGATTCACTTTGCATGTGTAACATTATCATATTTTGTTTACTATAATCTTTATTAATTATTGCTAATAAAAGAAAATATATATCTAATAATAAAAATGTTTATTTAAATAATTATTTTAAACTTTATTAGATTATATAAATGACTTAGTTACTTTAAAACAATTTAAAACAATATTGACATACATATATTCTATCATGTTGTACATGTTTAGTAAATTTCAAAAAGTATTTATGTTTTGTTCTCTCAAATTTTTCTTTCAATTTCTCGCTCCCCTGCCCTTGATGTCTTTTCTTACTCTTTCCTGATCAGTTACGTAAGTTTATCTCTACCTACTCTTGATCCTCCTATCGCAATTTCGTAAGTTCCTAAAGAAACAGGGGAAGAGATCATATAGGTATATCTAACTTGATCCTCATCGAGAAACGCGCGATATAAGGATTTGTTTTTTGAAAGAAATATTCTTCATTACAAATATGGATTTAGAGTATTGCATTGCATATTTCAGATCTCAAAATTGTTTCCAAATTGTTTATGATTTATTTCAATTATTTATAATCAATTATATATGTATATGTACATACATATATCATATTACGCATTTAAAAATTCGTAAATAATGTGTAAGTTTAAAAAATAACATAGTTACACAGTTATTTTGCAGAAATTAAATGTTTCATGGAAAATATTAAATATAAGCGCATTTATAACATATTTTTCTCATTGTACAATGTTTGTAATGTAACCACAAATCATGTTAAATGTATATAGATAAACCACATATTTTGTGCCAGCTTTATTTGCTTCTCTATCGTATAATTTTATATAATTTTATCATCGCGAGAAGCATCTGATTCATTTGATTCTTGATAAAATATGTCTTGCATTTAACAATAAAATTTAAAATACTATTAAAATTTGAATATAAAAACTGAATTTTTAAGAGACAAACTCTTGTGAAAATAGTTTAAAACTAATTTCTTTTGATACACGCATATTAAAAAAAAAAGTGTTTTTAACATTGAACACTTTCGAAGAAGCAGATATTTTTGATTCTCCAGGAAAATGTGTTCTTCATTAATGAGCTGGCCGTTCTACGATAGAGAAGTTATTTTTTTATACTACTATGCATGTATATATATATCGATCGCCATTGGTACTATTCATCCGTAATGACCAAGTTCAACGGCGGCCTTCTTCAACGGTTATGTGTGTAAGATCGAATATATATTGCATACTGCTAAAACGAGGGAGGCTACGAGGACGCGAGGGTGCGGGGTCAAAGATGATCGTGATAATCACTCAACGATGAATATCCATAAATAGGCATAGTCGAGGAGTGGTTTATAACGCTTAGAAGGAGAGAGAGAATGTGGAAGCTTTTTGAAACTGATTGTTTACATACGGCATGAATAGAACTAGTTTAGAATTCAGATTTATTTGCGTGTTAATATTTATATTAAGATTAATTTAAATTAAAACAAAAATTTGACCAAAAAGAAATATATATATATTTTATGATTAAGTAGTTATATCGATGTATGCAAGAATCAATCCAGTATCGACAATTTCTTACCTATAGAATATCTGCATCCGATATTCTGTGAGCGAAAACGATTTCCAGAGGAAGATCGGAGACCCATATGCAAAATAGGATGACGCGGCGCGATAGCTTTAATATCGCTTCGAAAGAGTTTGTCATGCCTCGAGGGAGATTCTTAGACGTCATGTCCCCGGCAGAAAATGGAGCCGTCAATATTGGTCAATAAAATTGTCGAGGCGAGAAGATTCACTTAAAGTTAGATTACGTTGGGATATGCGTTTGTCTTTCACTTTGATTGCTTTGCCATCAATCCGTAACAACGAATGCGGTAAAATGCATAAAAATGCATAAAGCCGACTATTTTAAAAATATTCATTAAATCGAATACTCTGTATCACGATATATATAACAGGAACAGAAATAAAGCAGGACTAGAGAAGCAAGAACGTAAACTATACGCTATCGTTGAAGTTTAATTTTACGAATACAACTACTTTGATCAAATATCTACGAATGAAAGTCTAATTTAACTCCTGTCTTCGCTTTGGACGAAGAAAAACAATCACAAATCTCTCTCTTCTTATCTTGCCGCGTCATACTTAACTTTGCGACTTTATTTCTCCAATTTATTGTTAGACGGTAAGACAAAGTAAAATGAGCAAGAAGTAAGATTCACCGCGCTCTTTTACAGCGTACAGGAAATCTTGGCTTAAAATCTAGGATCATAATGTTGATCTTGCTACGCACTAAAAACTACTTTGTTAGTTTTTATACGTCTTATCTAGAAAGTACCGTCTTACGATATTTTATGCAAATTATAATTTTTCATACAGATTGCTGTTATTTGCAGAGGTGACTCGATAGTTTTGTTTTGGTAAAAATGATATTGTCGCCTGTTATTTTTGTATCGTCGATACGACCTTTCGTGGTGTAGCCCGCTCGATGAATCGTAAGCATAAACATATCATCGTTCTATAAACGCTCGATCGACGATAAAATATCTGGCCAAATGAGAAAACCTGAAATTAATTTTTCCTCATAGTAAGATCTATCAAGAATCCTTATAAGAATAACAAGATTTAGAAAGAGAGATGAAGAGAAAGAAATTTGTAATAAACCTTTTTAAATAATTTTTCTAGCAAATTTGTACCCGCCATCAATTAGAATCCGCTGTCAAATAGATTTCAAAAGAATGCTTATTTTATCGGAAAAAGAGGAAGGAAATTAACGTCAGACCTTTTCCAAGAAAAGAAAATATTTGCTCAATAGATTGCAGACACTCAAAATATAATAAAGAATAAAATCATCTGACTCGCGAGATTTTTCGTCTCATTTTGTTTATTCTTTTTCAGAAGGAAAACTTACTTTCTTAAACTTACTTATTTGTTTCAGGTAGAAGTCTGAACTTTTGACAACTCTCGATTATGCCATTTCGTGTGTTCTGTACTTATTTTAATATCTCAACCGAAGAGATTGTGTCAAATGTCATCGGACAGATACGCGACAAATGTGTTGAGATAGTCGGTTTTTATAAGATATAATCTAATCATACATTGATGATAGCTTGAAGATTGATTGAACATCAGACTGTCTCATCGGAGTGTATTTTACGTGTGATTAATTTGAATAAAAATATGTAAAAAAAAATATGACAGTAATCTTAGAATTACGATGATTTTCCGAAGTGTCTCAATGAGAAAACAAAATGAGAGAACAGACGAGAAGGAGGAATCTCGTAAACGTAAATGCGACGCTGATACTCTGACGTTCAGCCGCCTCGAGAACGTCGCGAGAATCATCTTGGACGATCGCACGTCGGGGTGATTACGGTCGTAAGGGACCGTCGTCGTAGTGGCACGGGTGCGCAAGGCAAAACATGAATGACAGCAAGATCTATTTATTGAGCTTGGAAGACGAGGCAAACGTATTAAACGACGATCTGGTCGACAAGAGTTTCTACAACACGAGCTATCCACCGCTCTTTAATCACACCCACGAGGATCTCTGGGGACTCGCCACGGATCGAATTGGTCTTGCGATAGTTTTGTTGCTCTTCTCCGTAGCTACCGTCTTCGGCAACTCGTTGGTGATCCTCGCGGTATTTCGCGAGAGGCATCTGCACACAGCGACAAACTACTTCGTGACCTCGTTGGCCTGCGCCGATTGTCTGGTAGGCCTGGTGGTGATGCCAATCAGCGCGATATACGAGGTACTAGAGAACCGTTGGCTCTTCACGATAGACTGGTGCGATGTCTGGCGATCGTTGGACGTTCTCTTCTCCACGGCATCCATCCTGAATCTGTGCGTCATTAGCCTAGACCGCTACTGGGCGATCACCGATCCCTTCACGTATCCGATGCGTATGAGCAGGAAACGCGCGGCAATCCTTATCGCTATTGTGTGGATCTGCTCGAGCGCTATCTCCTTCCCCGCGATAGCGTGGTGGCGTGCGGTACGGACCGAGCAAGTACCCGAAGACAAGTGTCCGTTCACAGAGAATCTCGGCTATCTGATATTTTCGTCGACAATTAGCTTTTACCTGCCGCTATTCGTGATGGTGTTCACGTATTACAGAATCTATCGCGCTGCCGTGATACAGACGAGGAGTCTGAAACTCGGCACGAAACAAGTGATGATGGCTTCCGGTGAGCTCGAGCTTACACTCAGAATGCACCGGGGCGGTGTGTCCACAAACACCGATGCCAGACACCTATTCCGCACCGCCTCGAGCACGCCTGAGGATCTTCAGGATCTCGAGGAACCGTTAACGGCACTCCACAACAACGGTCTTACCAGAGTGCCATCCGTGCGGATCAACAACAAGCAGCATCTGGGCAAAAATTTCTCTTTGTCGCGGAAGCTTGCCAAGTTTGCCAAGGAGAAGAAGGCGGCGAAGACTCTTGGTATCGTTATGGGTGTCTTTATTATTTGTTGGCTACCGTTCTTCGTTGTGAATCTATGGTCAGGATTCTGCACGAAGTGTATATGGCAGGAGGAAATCGTGTCCGCTGCCGTCACCTGGCTCGGCTGGATTAACAGCGGAATGAATCCTGTAATATACGCCTGCTGGAGTAGAGACTTTCGTAGGTGAGTCCTTGTATGCACCGTTAATTGATTTTATCTTCCGGAAATCAGAATAGCCGGAACAATTATCCCACACATTTCACACGCTCTGTTTCGCCTTTATATGTTTTGTACAGTATTATAATAACACATGTTATCGCAATAATATTATTCCCAATTAGATCCGCAAACATTTTTTTAATTGCATGAAAATAATAATTTTGATTGAATCGGTTAGTATTTTGATATTCTACAGATACTTAAACATATAGAAAAAAGTGAAGAAGTGAAAAAACCAAACGTAAACACTTGAATGTAAATTCGCTTGATACTTGTGTAAGTAAATTGTTTTCTTTTTATTACGTTAAGGAAGAGAGATAAAGTTGGACAGTTTTGAAGCCAGTTCAAACATTTTATGTATACAGGAAGAAACATCTAATTTAACTACTTTAAATTACTTGCGCGCATGAATTGTTTGCTGTATAAAAAAATCTGTTGAAGAAAAATTGTTAATAAAAATTAAGAGTAAAAAAAGTGATTATTATATACATCCGCTTTGATATTATGCGAATTTTTGTCTGAAACATTTTTTCATATAAGTTTGCGAGTAATTTAAGGTGGTCATAAGTTAGATGACTCATTCTATTTATGTATAATATATTAGAATAATATAAATGTTTTAAAAATATTTTATATATATTGTATAGACAGAAAGAGAGAGAGATAAGTATCCGAACACAAAGTTTTTACGCATAAAACGCAATTATTCTGCATACGAAAACCTTCACGTAATTAATGCAGAATCACTTTTGACATTTCTCACTTGCATTCTATTTTCTACGATGTCATAAGAGAAACGTTTCGCAATGATTATCAACATTTTTAAGATTCCAGCTTTCACGCAACATTGCTACATTAAATCGTACGCGACTGGTGTTTCGCGTATGCCAGAAACATTCCGCTACGAATAAGCAAATTCTATGACGTGTTGTATGGTACGTTTGTCTCTTTAGTAGCGAACGTTAATGTCGGCTAGATATACATATTACCTTCACCCACACATCCCTTCCTCGTATTATATATATATATATATATATATATATATGTATATAATGCGAATAGTGATGCTAGAATATTAACGCGTTTATATATGCATACATATCACCAGGTGTACGAGCACGAAATGTACATAGTTTACAATCTATCATCGCGGGTTGACATTACCCGTTACTCTCACACCCAATTGTCAGTATTCTCCTAATGTGAATTTCAATATTATCCCCTCTCCTCTTATTCACCACGTATTATTGTAGTTATCGAACAGATCGAAGAAAACGATGAAGGTGGTAAACACTTGTGGAAGAAAGGAAAAGAACCAGCCGAAAAAGAATACTCGCGAGATTGTAAGATCGATTTTAAACCAAAGCTCCAAGGAGCTTTCCCCTTTTAAAACGTATATGCACGGTGGAAAGCGTGTGGAAATTTTATATAAAACATATGTATATATATATATATGCATATATATATAGAGAAATAGAGAGAGAGGGAGAGGGAGAGGGATAGCAAGGACTTTCCACAGAGACGGAAAAAGAGAATTTGGCTAGCGGGGATTGTGGGTGGATTAGGCAGAGACCCTTTAGCAAATTACTTTTATTCGTTCGCGTGAAATGAGCCCGAAGTTTCAGGACGCCCGCGCATCGGACATTTTCTTCCCTCGGAGCCTCAACGAGCGCTACCGGGACGCTCGGCGTTCGTGAAAAACATTTATCATCTTAAATACCTTCTCGACTTGATAGTAGTTACGGAGAATTTTTTTTTGCACTTTTATGACGCAGTTTCTATAATATTTGCTTCAGGCGATTTAATATATATACGATTTTTTAATGCAGTAAGAAATAATAATAAATCTATTAAACCTGTATTTAATTTTCATTTTAACATAAATTAAATGGATTCTATAATTGCGATATGATCAGAACAGTACGATAAGGAAAGAAATAGATTGATAAATCACTGTATTATTACAAAAAATACCTAGCAGTATCGTGCTAATCCCCAATGTGATAATGGATTGCTAATAAAAAAACATATAATTGAAAAGGAAAAGTAAAATGAATATCGTGTATGTGTAAGGTAATTTAGAAACGTTTCGACACGTTATCTTAGAAATAACAATTCTGGATTAATACTTTAAAATTATATTTCTGGCCAATAAAAACCTCTCGCAATAATTGGCAGCGTTTTTGAGATTCCAGCTTTCATAGTGTAGTTTAATTATAAAAGTATGTAGGTCTCTTCAATAACTGTAAACAAAAAATTATAAACATTATACATTAAATAAAATAAATAAAATAATTATTATTATATCGGATTTTCCGAATAAGAAATAAAAAATTTGAAGATACATTTGGTGAAACGATCTGTGTACATTGCTTTCGCGAGCAATAAGCAATGGATCAACGCCGCCGATCTGTCTCTGCCATGTGGACATATTCGCATGTTAAATCACGAATCGCGTGGCAGAGCGAATTATGCTACATGATGGAGGGCGATGTAACGCTGACGTTGAATAGAGGAGCCGATACGGTTTGGCTGACGCCAAACGACGTTGTGTACAGCAATCCCACGTGTAACTATCACGCTTCACGGATATTTACTCCGTGCATACAGGTAAATGTAAAATCAATAGACCGCGTGCTTTCTTTATGGTATACATAGGGATGTAAGGGCCTATCTTCTAGGTTGTAAAACGTGGATAGTTCGATCGTTCCAAACGGGCGGATATTAATAAAAGGGAGGTAATTGCAACTTTGTACATGCGAAAAGAAGCCGGCGATCTAAAGTGACATTATAACGAGAGAATAGCGAAAAGAATGATCGATGCGATTCGATCGCTTATTCTCTGATAACGAGATAGCTTCGCAGGTTTAATTTTATATGAAAGAATCCGAGACGCGCGAACTTTGCCGCATTGATCCGTGTTCCGCGTTTTCTGAAACGCCCTCATGTCGAATTAATTATAATCAAGCCGGTTAAACGGAATCCAGATAATTTTTTTTTTCAATATCTTTATATCTGACGTAAAATTTTACAAGTAAGAGTAGCGCCTAGATAAAGTAACGCGTCTTTATTATACACGACGAGTTACTTATTCAGCTGATTTCATCGAAACACGAATCAGAGACAATCATGATTGCATTTATAATAACGATTCTATTTAAATGTTAAATAAAAGAATGTCAAACTCCCGATTAAATTTCGATTTTAATTGTAGGATTGTCAGCTCAAGCTTAATTATATTCGATCTAAAAGTCAGAATTAATGAATTTTACAACTTACCGCGAGTTTTAGAAGTTGTCGTTGTTTATTTTGCGACGAACCATACGCGCGAGGGGATTCCTCACTGAAATTACAAAGACTTTTCGAGTATGATGCAATTAAAAGTTTCTGCGAGTACATAGAGGATGTGGATGTAGGTACGCGTTCCGTTCCGCTTCGGCTGAAATAGATGTGGATTCTTTCGAGATCTTTTATAACAACGCACAAATGACAAAAAATAACGAGATAAATAAAATTAAGAGATCTTTATCGAAACGTAAATAATGCGAGATTAATTTGCTAACTAGTAAGAACAAAATTTAAATTATGTAAAAACTTGGGAACAATCAATCCACATATCGTATATCATCTGAAACGTCATAAGAACTTTGAAATACACGGATTGGTATCGCACTCAAACAAAAGCGGCATTACTATAAAACCGAAAGATCTAATCTGCCTGCGCGAGTTCGTTAAAAAAAATTTCAAATTTCGCATTTTAAACTTTCTACTTCATATTGCATCGCGTGGATTATTTCATCTCTCCGTCAACGCTACTTTGTTCCTATACGTTTCTCTACCTAAGCCGACATTAAAAAAAAAGTCCGGTATGTTTCAACAAATAATCCATGATAAAACATAACGACTACAAACAAAGTTATTGTAAAATATGATAAAAGTCTATGTTTGGTTGCGATATTACGTTTCAAATTACGTATTTGCTTATCTTTCCAAAAAATATTGTAAGATATATAAATGTGCTTAATAAATTTTAACATAAAAGCCCGGCAGCGTACTATTATACTGGCATTGCTGTATGCATTATCAAAATTACAGATACATATTTTGTGATACCTAGATTAGAGAGAAAGATATTTTCTTAATAAAAAAGAAGATACAAATCGGGATTTATATCTGAGGTTTGAAGAGAGAAAGAGGAGTGCGGACGAAGGAAGGAAAGCAGCCGATAACACTCTATTAGCTGGTGGACCGAGCAAAACCAGGTCACCGATCTCATAAAGAAACTCTGAATTCAAGGACGGCCGATTTTCCGTTGCTGTTTTGCGAATAATCACGAATACTCCGCGTTTCTCACAAATAATATCTGTTTCGTCCCTCTTTTATCCGGCCATCTGATATGACCAATATGTAAATCGAGCGCGCGACAGAAATAAGATAATAGCTCGACCCTTAAACGGCAATAGGAACGATCTTGTCTCGCTGTTGATTATATTGGTTGATAACCGTGCGTCTTGTCTTACCGGAGGGAAACATATCACGCGGAGTTCTTGCATGTCCTTAACGGAAAACAAACACGTGTTTTATGCAGATTTATAAATGTGTAATGCACGACTCATATCGAATGGACGTGACTGAGAAGAAGCGGAAATGCGAACGAAACGTGGAGATCGATTTTTTTTTTTAAATGATAAATATTTTTGCTCGCGTCTTGTACTTTATCGAACCTTTCACGTTATTGCTAGAAACACCATAATAACTGCGTCACGATCAATAACGCGATAAAGATCTAGGCCGTTCATTACGTTTTGCATAAGCTAAAGTGCAATTAAGAACGGAAGCATTACGTGGAGCAAAATAACGACCCCACCTATGAAAACATTGTGAAAAAAATAGACTATAGAGAAAAGTTCTTTGTCTGATGGTACAGACGAATCACACACACTTACCTATTTTATTTTTTTAATATCATATCTTGTACGCTTTTCTTTCTTGTCACTGATCGAATACAAGGTCAATAATATTTAATTCACAAATTAAATAAAAAAATTAAACACCATGTGCGATTAGTAGTTTTGAATTAAATAAATACATATGAATTCGTAACGCCTTATATTTCGAAAGTATGCCAAGGTCTGTCTAAGTAATTGACTTCCTCTAACAACCTTCTTTCGTGATCGACGATGCGGAACACACATTCATGTTGCGAGAAAAAAAAAAGAGAAAGATAAAAATGAAAGCGAGACCCATACGAGTGGCGCAGTGCATAGTCGCCAAAATCTGGATTCAACTCGTCGAGACGTCGCGTCGCCTCGTGTCCGGCGCCAAAACGGCTGTATATATCTCGCTGTTACTACTCGTTACTAAAAATATGGAAAGAGAAAGAAGGAGGAGGGGGGGGGGAGGAGTAATTCGCTTGACTAAGAGTAATAAGATGAAGAGGGAAAAAACAGAGAGAGGATATAGAGTTAGAAGGTAAGATCGCACCAAGATCAAGCTTGGTAAGCCGTAGTCGTAAATCTACGGTGCTCTCCCTACAACTATGGCTCTCTCTTTGGTTTCCCTCTACGTCTTCTTCTTAACTCCGTTATCTTTGTTTGCTCCACCATGAACTTCAGAGAGGAAAGAGAGAGATAGAGAGAGATAGAGAGAGAGAGAGAGAGTTTGACTCTCGGATTACTTCGTCTCTTTGCGTAGCGCAGACCGAATCGACTTTTGGCCGCCTCCGCTAACGGATATACCACAGATTGCGCTCATCCGTGCATATGTTTCGATTATATGTTGTGAGTTAGCTTTCTGTTGCCGATGCCGAATTATGCGCGAAATAAATCTTATCAGCTCGATTAATCTGTAAAGTTGCGCGGATAACGCGTTGCCGTAACTTCCGCCATCTTTTTTTTAAACAACTACATTTCACCGATACTGTCTATAAATTAAATGTCCAGTGTTTCGAATTTATTATTCAAATGTCGTTTATCACATTATTCTATTTTCTTATTTACGTACTGTTATAAAATCGCTCTTGTAATTGTCAAAATAATACGACAGCTTTTACATGGGATATAATTAGAGTTTTCTCTATCAGTTTCCGCGTTAATATTCATTATGGTGCCGCGACATAGTCATCGATTTCCGGTTTGGTATGTCGCGCACTCCGCTCCGATTGCATTCCGGCAGAAATGCATTCGGCGCACGTTTCGCTGTCATTAGAACGTAAATTCGACGCCAATAGCTGATTACACGAGCGTCACACGCCAATTGGGACCTTACGTCCCGCAATACGTTTTGTCGTCAATAACCCGATGACCGGAAATCACGCTCGGATTCGTTTTGATTAACGACGTCATCTTGTTCTTTGACTTTTTCGTACTCGTACAAAAGTCCAGCAAAATGTGATCGTAATCCGACCGATGATGTATCGTAAGATCGATCGTGTAATAGTGCTACGATGCAAAAAGAGTAGAATTAACTTTTTTCCCGTGTTAATCGAAAGAATTATGTTTCCGTGCCATTAATCTACTAATGTATGAGAAAGGAAATAATACTTGCCTATACTTTAATCCTTTCTATTTTATTCATCGGAAATTACCAGTTACATATTCTTTCTTGTATACCTACTGTGTAATTTACATTGAATCTTTTATTGTAATATTATTAATCATAAAATATAAGAAATGCACAAAATTATACTATATATTTAAATATGTAATAAATATCTCAGGTTTTTAAACATGCTTTTAAAAATCATGCAAAATTGCGTTTTTACCAATTAAAAGATTATACACATATAAGAACGACAATAAATATATTTTGCACGTGTATTTGTTTAAATACTGAATCAGCCAATAATAGATGATAAAAAGATGTAAATAAAAATAAATTAATTTTTAATTTTTAAATAAAAATATATAACGTCAAGATATATAGTTAATAATTTTTGAACGATCTTGTTCTAAATATAACATTGTAATATTAATATTTCTTTAACTTATGTTAATGTAACTTAGTTATCAGTAGCTTATATTGTAGCTAACATTTTTGTTAATCAAAAATATACTCTATAAAAGTAAATATCACGGTCCAAATATCTGGCAACGATCAATCGTGCACCGGGTTAAATAAGCTTTGCAATATCACGTTGAATTTAATCAAACATGAAATTCGAGACAGCAAACAGCAGAATAAAAAAACGATATTGTTAAATTTTTTATGAAACACGAGTACAACTGCGAGGAAACAAGTATTTAAAAAAAACAAGATTTGACCATCGTTATTAAACCAATATTAAGCAGCTACCAATGTATATATAGTAAAAACTTAAAATCATTATAATATAAAATATTTTTTAACATTATAATGTAAAATATAATTTTTTTCTCTTTTCTCATTATCGTTCTTATGAATGCACATTCTTAACAAATGATCATAACATTTTGAATAAATTGAGAGAAATAAATTTCTCTGAGCGTTCTCTGAGATAAAATTTACTCGGAATAAAAATTTGATCTCTAACGTCTCAAAAAGAAACATGTTGCAAAACTCGATCTATAAATTACAATTATAAATATTTTTTTATAAATTGCCAAAAAATATTCAGATTTTTTCCAGATTTTATTTTTTCATTCAATGATATTTATTGCAAGAATCTAACAATATGAGTTTGCAAAATGATTAATTATACATTAACGAAAACAGAATAAGATAGATATATTATAAATTTTATAACCATTTCATGTTTGCATGTGATATGTGTTACAAACAGATGCTTACAAAAGGCACAACGTGCATAAATTAAATCGTAGTTAATAATACGATATCGCAAATTTAAAAATTAGTATTTTACCACTGCAAGTTTTACCTTGTTCGATGAGCTATATAGAAAGGTTTAATGAAATTAGCTCTGAACTTTTCTAATTAACTTGCCATGGGGCGAGTTTTCTATCCGAGAGGCGCAGTTAAATATTTCGCAAATCTTAATAGACTTATTATAAACGGTTAATGAGCCGAGATAGTTATCGCTCTGGTAACTCAGAAAATTTTTTTTCACACAGGATATATATGATAAAGATATCTTCAAAAACTATCAAGCATCAGAGCGATGTCGTCTCTTAACAATGTTCAATTTCGACAAAATAAAACATTTAAATCAGACATAAATGAATGAAATTGCATTCTCTTTTTATTCTTAGTTTGATCGAGGATTAATTTTTGCAGAACATTTATTGCGTTTAAAACTACGTATCTGATATCAGATATTAAAATATTAAAAAACCATTTTAATAAAGTTTTTGATAAAAACACTTTTTGTTTGAAGAAAGGGTAAATAAAAACAAGAAATATGCGCAGAGAGAGAGAGAGAGAGAGAGAGAGAGAGAGAGAAGAAAACGACTAATGGAATACATTCAAATGTTTGAGATTACGGTCTGCGAGATTATTGCAAAAATTATCCATTTATATTATAATACAAAAATGAATTTATAAAAGCACTTGAGACGGATACAAGATAACTTCTATAATCAACAGGCAAAATCCACCAAAATATCCTATGATCAAAAGAAGAAAAGCTGGTGCAAGATCATCCATGTCAATGTAAGAATCATCTTTGTCACTATTCATTGTGATATAACTTTTGTTCAATGCCTCCATGTTTGACCAGAATTCAACGAGACCGGTTTGAACGAGCATTTGGATTTTGAAGTTAAATTCCTCCAAGTACGGGAATCCTTGCCAAGTGGCGAGGGCTAACGGATAACTGCCCACGTTTTCTTTCATAATGTGAGCGTGTTTCAAATTGGACAAACGGCGTATATCGGTCAGATTTACCATTACAAGAAGAGCTAGACTAGTATTACTTCCCTCAATAATTTCTGAAAACAGATCGATATAATCCTGCTGTTTGAAAATGATAAGATTCTCGCGGATCGTTTGTTCGACGTTGCCCTGGTCGATCTTGTCAGGCGTCTGCAATAATTGAGCTAATCGCTGACTCCCACCTATCTGTAGCCCCGATTTAACTAGTTGCTCCATGGATTCAATCTGACTATCCGTCGCACTCTGGAGCTGATCGGCCAGCGATCCTAAATAAAGCTGCGTAAGAAAGAAACCGAATAGACTGTAAGATAGGAATAGAATTTTGCTGGAAGTTTTGTTCGGACGATTGGTGGCCACGCCAAGAACTAGGGCCGCCATGTCCAGGAATGAGACGTCATGAATTAAGAAGTGCTTTACGAGTCCGCTGAGGAACAATGTGCTGATTATGGCGTACCAAACACTCGCGCTGAACGGCGTTATTAAACCGCGGAAGGAAACGTTCGTTTTCATCGGTATTAGCCACACGACCTGTATCATACCGTAACAAGTCATGTACTTCGTCTTTCCATTGGGATCCCACAGGAGACCACCAAATATCAAATCATCGGTTACGTTGTTAAGTCTCAGATATAGCTGTGTATGCATCGTAATGTTTTGCTGCCACTCGATCACATTTCTGTTTAGTTCGAGATTCATGTTACTCGCGATTTCTTCCACCATCGAACCTTCGATACCGCCGAATCTCGAATTATTCTTGTCATTGATCATATACGCGTACGGAAAATTTTTATATATCGCCGCGTTCACGACGGAGGCATTGAATGACGACGATTTAGTCCCGAAACGCTGCCATCGAATTGCAGTTGCATTCTCCCATTGACATCTGCCTAGAAGCGCTGGCTCGGCGAACACATACACTTCCTCGATCCGAATCGGAATGCTACTGGCCAACAGAACTGATTCTTCAATCAATGCCAATATTGCGAGCTTGAACATGGATTGCAATGACATTTGTTCTACTATCTCGCCGGCCTGTATCAAGAAACTCTCTTCGTCAACGAATAGATTCGTTAGCATTATTATAAAAGCGCACTCACTTTTGCAGTAATCGACAAAATAGGAATAGTTTGTTTCGAGAGTGATTGCGCTTTTTGCTAAAATAACGATGTTTTCAGAAACATCGTACGTTTCTAATGCGTCTGTTGGTTCTACGAATGATAGTGAATAGACAGTGCTGCTTATGGGTAATTCGGTCATTAATGGTTTTAGGAAAGCGGAAGCGTCGTCTAGCAAGACAGAGACCAAGAACGATATTTGATTCGCATATTCGAAATATTCCTCGATGAACGGCACTGCACAGGTTATTAATCTTGATGATTTTTCACGCTGGTTCTGCTCTTCCACAAAATTTTTCCAGAGAATGCGTCCATCGGTTGAACGTTGTAACGGTGTCACAATACCGGAAACAGCTGATATTAGTATAATAAGAAAGGAGAAACGATTTGGAAAGTCTTGTGACTGATAAAAGTCAAATAAGCCCAATCTAGTATCTATATTCATGTTGCCTCGATATGCTCACACCCGTTTACACTATTGTCTCTCGACGTTACATTTACTGTATCTCAACTGCTTCAACGATTCCAAATGCAACAGTCGCATAATATTCTATTCAAGTACTCGACCCGTGAAAATGTAAAGGTATATAATCTAAATAGAAAGAGTGTAAATATCATGTAATGTCATTCGTGCAGTCGCTAGAAAGATGATCTGTTTACTGTACATTTTGCGTTGCACACTATTTGTATAATAATATATCGTAACGATATGTGTGTATAAACACGCGTGTGTGTATTATTTTTAAAACTATTTAAAATTATCGGCGACAAACGTTTATTATAAGTCAATTATGTACTAAAGAACGCATTAATAGACTAAAAAAGATTTTGGATCCTTTGGTGATATCCAAATAATGCACATAAGCATCGATCGCGTGTGGCATTTTCATTGCTATGGCCTTTATGCAAATATTCGTACACACGATACTTGAAAAAAAATATAACCGTCATGCAATCTTGACGTTAAAATGTATTTGGTGTCACGATACTGCGTCGTGACATTGCACAACGCACTTGTCTATGTCGCAATAGCGCAAATCTGATTAAAATATCAATTTATATGACTAAGTCTCTTGGTCACATAATAAATAAAAAAGAGTAATTTTCATAGAAATATAATTTTTTTGTTTTACGATCTCATAGTCTGACTAAGGTTGCAAGATATATTATATTTTCTCGTGTTTCAGAGCTTTTGTCAGAATTCTATGCTACTGTTGTCCCAGAAAAATGAAACGGCGGTATCAACCGGCATTCAGATGTAAACCAAGTCAGGTAAGTTTAAATTAGCCGCTATTTATCTTATCTTTCTAATAGATTTATTTAACTTAAAACAGTATTATTAAGATTGGTTTGTTTAATCGTCCCAAAACTAATTCCTAATTTTGATTCACCTTTACTTAATATTAGAACAATTTTGCCTAAATGCATCTAGCGTTAGTGTCCCTCATAAGCTGCCCTATATCAAACTTTGTTAGAAGTGAAAGCATTTTATTCACAAAATAAAACAATGAACAAATTTATGCTGAAAAGACAGGAATCTAGGTATCTTGATTTAAATAAAGAAAAAGTGAATATCTCGTAAAGAATTTAAAATATCAAAAAATCTTTTTTTTCTAGAAATATGAAATTTATGATACAGGTTTAAAAGAGGAAAAGTATCAAAATCGATGTAAGTTTCTTATAAATCGACATATTCAATTTTCTCAACAATTATTCTGCGTTTCATCACAACTGACATGAATTTAATCCGCTTGATTACTGATTAGACAATATTATCAAAAATATGATACAGTTTGATAAGAGAAATTATCTCCAATAAATATCAATGATATAAATCTTTATTTTAAACTTTTAGCTAGGGACAAGCTCAAGAACAAAATGGTACGTCGATTTTGGCATTTTTCCTCGCTATGTTATGCGCCTGTCTTCACTAGGACGCCTTTATCGAACGTTAAACAAATGTGCACATCGAAAACTAAAAGCTCTCTTTGCTGCAATCAATACACTATCTTATCGAGAAGAAATAGATTTGGAAGAACGAAAAGAATTTTATATTTTGATTTAATAAAGGTAACAAATATTGGGATAAATAATTTATATTTTACGTGGGAAATCTGATAGATTACAAAGCTTTGTTAATACGCACCGATAGATAGGTATTTCTTTTATATAATTTCATAGAGAATGTCAATTAGTAATTTTTTATTAAAATATTGAGCAGATACATGCGTTATCTTGACCATCGTCTTCAACTGTATCAATAAACGCTCATGTAACGAAACATATATCATATTTAATGGACGAATATAAATGGACGAATACTAAAGGGAGCAATACGTCACATATGTCACAATTTTATTAACAGGGTTGCTGACGCTAACTATTAGGTACGGGAACGTATCCATGTTGCTTTTTTCAGAAATTTGCATCCGGACGGTACTACTCCGCGTATTCGATCCATCACGTACGGAGAAGTCGAGAAAATTCCGGCGAGCAAACCTACATTTAACAACGGAATATCATCGCGAGCTGGCCGTCGATCGTTGATCGTAGAATTCCTCGAGACTTTTCTTTTTATCTTTTATTTTCTTCGTCCCTTTTTAATGTAATATGAGTAAAGCAGTTAATACAGTTTAGCAATTAATTTCCAACTGTAATTCCCGTATCTATTTTCCAAGACCCTTACGTATCAGAGATCGACGAACATCTCAACGAATATCGACGCATTCCCGTAGAATGTAAATTCTCGGTATGTTTACTAGTAAATGTGTGACACTCTCTTGATCTTGAACACGCACTTGCACATAGCACTGTATTATCTAATAGGATGCACTTTCTTGATATAGATACTTATCCATCTTTTGATATAGTTTTGATATAGATTTTTTAAAAGGCTTGACGGGTTTTCTTTTAATTTCGATTTTTCCTGATTTAAAAATTTGTAAAATTTCATGTATATTTGTTGAGCAAATGAGCTCTAAAAGAATTCGCGCGCGATCATAAAATGCGCTTGAAAATGTAAAAGCTTTGGTAACTCAAAGAACATGAATGATTCTACAAGTGTTAGAAACGGTAATGGCGCACCTACATCAATAATGCCCTTCACATCGGAATTCGGCATTTTCGAGTTAGACGCATCCTATTTAAAATATATTATATTTACGCGTCGTCACTATTGGTTTTAAAAAGAGTCGATAATATTATCATTGAACGGAAAATGAAAAAGATTATGTTATAAATATGTTACGTTCTTACGTTAATCTAATATTTAATTTTAATAAATGAGATAAATTAATTATTAAAGTTTATTTCAGAATTAACAATCATGATACGCAATTATGTTATTAATAATATTATAATATAATAATATAAATATAATATTAATTAAGACAGGATCCGTGAGTGTCGAGTCTGGAAAAAAAGGCGTTATTAATGTTTACCGTACTTCTGTAACGCTCACACGTTTTATATTCAGCTTTTCGTTCTTTAAGTATGAAAATATTTCCGTATTTTCATATTATTTTCATGTTAACTTCGCGAGTTTTTAACGAATGTGCACCTAAATATTTTAGTTGCACTCTTTTAATGTCGAAAAAAAAAGAATTCGAGTATAAAAGTGTGAAAATTAAAATTTTAAAATATTTTTTGTAGAATATTTTTTATTGCAACATGATATATCTCTCTCTAATTACGCTTATGAGAGAGGATTAATTGCAGTGATTGATACATGAAACAACGAATATAATTACACAATTTTGGAATATCAAAAGACAAAATATTATATCATAAAATAAACAAAATTGATATGTCCGCGTATGAAAAATCTAAAATAAACGCGCAATCTCGTGCTATTTTCAATAACCTAGATAGATACTTTTAGTTTCATAACCGTGTTACCAAAACGAGAGCCGCGCAAACATACGAGATATCGGGTCATAAAAGTGAGAGAAGACAAAAATAAGGAAAACCATTTGACCTTGGGGAATTCAACACCCGATAGGACAAACGAGAAAACTCCGATGCGGTCACTATCCCGTGAGACACAAGATGATGAGAGACAAAAGCGAGCATACGAAACTTTTCACAAGTCCCTTCTCTTCTCTCTGAGAATTATTGCACGAACTATACGTGATACTTCGAAAAATCCTTCGTCTTTTAAATCAACGCTAAACGTGAAGAAAAATTCTTTCTAGAAAATCGTTAGTTTAAAAACATATCGATCATCAGTTATGTATTGTCTTTTTTGTATGAGAATAATGAAAAATTCTTAAACACAAAATTAAGCAAACATCCGTTTTGTTCACTTTTTTGTTCGCTCAGTAAAGTATAGATTTGAAATCCCGACTTGTTCGCATTTGCGGTGACATTTTTTTTTCCACGGCCGGCCGAATATTGAATTATTTGCTTTACGGCCAGAAGCTATCGAAAAACCGTTTAACCACCTCTCCCTATTCAACAGCTACGGGTTGTCTCTTCGACCGCACTGTTCGCACGATTCGGCGCAAAGCTATGTGTACATGGAATATGAGCGTGAAGTGTAAAGCTTGTCGCTGATCCGTGGCGACCTTTAAAGGGAAGGCAACAAGCGCGGAGAGACAGGTTGCGTTTGAAGCGAAACCGATGGATCGATTGTCCCTAGGACGACGACAGGAGAACTCGGCTATCGCGTCGGATAAAAGTGCTCGACTTCTTTCCGAAGGAAAACGAACACACTTTAGCGAAAAGGCGTTTTAAGAAAATGCCTAGAGTGCAGCGATCTAATAAATAATTTCGAAATTTGCGATAAAAGGAAAACAGAATCGTACATAAAACGGGACTGTCGTCGTGGGTTGTCACGTGTTTAAAAAATAAATTAGGCAATTAAATCATTATAAACGTAATCGGATGTCATTGGTAATTCTTATCGCATTAAGAATTCGCGAAATACATTAATTCGAAAAGATACATAAAAGACGAAAAATGTGTACTATCAGCACTATGAATATAACATAGTTGTAAGCATGCACAGATTGGAACAGTAAAAATCTATTCGTATAAATTCCTTACTGTTTTAATTACAGCAGTTCAAGCATTAAAAATCTATTTTTGTCCAAACGAAAGATACGTATATGTTTCTAAAAAAAAAAATGACTGAAAACACAGAAAGTTTATGCGCGAATATTTCGTGCTACTTCGATTTTTGTTCTCCAACAAATTTCCCGATAAATCATCTGAAATGTGTGAGCAAGAAAAACAATGATCAAAATTATTCTGTTTCAGTATATTTCCGGAATGGCAACGGGAGGGCAAGCGAGTAATGTAAGCTACAGTAGTGTCAGCCAAAGTAGCGATGGTGGCATATGCGCAACCGGAAGTGGACCTTCCAGCGGCGGTATGTGACGTCACACGTCGGCCCGATCGGGGCCACGTCGAGAGCGAGCAATTCGATTCCGTGAGGCGTGATTGGTGACACGATCAAGATCGAGAAGACCCTAAAAAAACTAGAAGAATTTTTCTGTGCAATTTAATTTTATTGCGCTTGGAAAATGTCAAGAGGACGCGCTTTGGACGGTATCACAATTCATTGCTGCGAGACGTCTCTGCGAAACAAAAAATAGGAACGTGTTGTGGGTGGACGGGATAGAAACGGCTTGACGAGTGAACATATAGACCGCGAAACACCTGATGCTGCGAAACACGTACTTAACAATGGACTTTCGCAACGGCTTTCAAATTGCCACGATTTAACTTAAAACGAATCGTTGGATTCTCGCTTCTGTAATCGTATTAACGAGTGAGCAAACACGTTGCGAATGTATTCTGTCATCGCACGTGGGCTCTTGAAGGGAAGTAAAAACCAGCGTGGTCAGCTCGGGCGTAATGCGCCGCAAGAGACTAAATTTGTAGATGCTCTATTCATGTTACAGAAAAAGATCTTATAGAAAAAAGTATCCTTGTGGAAGTTTAACACACGCGATCTCTCATCTAAGACGCTGATTGTACCAATTACAGATCAATGCTACCTCTGATTAGTCAAACTTTCTGAAACTATTTGCATCGTTAATAGAATTATAATATGTAAAAGTGACAGTCAATATGAAAAAAATTCACAATTGCTAGTCCAAGATTTAATTACCTAATACTGTCGATGCAACCGAAGATAAGATATTGTATGAGACCAAACTATAGATATCTGTGACAATTAGATAAGCTCGCGACTACTCTCGATGGAACTTATTCGATGGCAAAAAAGAAGATACGCGCATATAGATGCGAGTAGATGTAAATAACAAACAAAAGCAATATATACAAGTAAAAAAAGTCTCAAATAAGAAAAAAAATAAATATTTGGGCAATATATATTTCACATCCTTTGAATATAACGTACATACGAAGATAGTTTTGTAAAAAGAACTAGTCACATGTATATTGAATAGTCTTAAGGATAGAAAAAGAGTTAGAGGAAAAAACATTCTGTTCTTTTAACTTCAAATATAAGTAAAAGATAAGAATAAGTTTGTATGCAAAGCTTTTTCAGACAGATGCAGCTTTTGAGTCTTTTTACTTTATCAAATATTTTTTTTTTTTTTTTGTATTAGTATAATATTTTTATTTTTATAGTAGTTTTTGTTGTTCTATACACTTTCTAGCTTGTTTTACTTGATTATATATATGTTAATTAACGCATTATACAATGCAATACTTTTTTTCAATAATTCTTCCGACAATAAAAATATCAGAAAAAAGTTTTAATACAAGATATAGTTAAATGAAGAAAAAATCGACAAAATAGAAATATTCTGGTTACGTCTTATTACAATAAAAATTGATCATTCTATATATATAATCAATAGTTTAAATATTTTAAATTATAATTTAAAATATTTTTGTTAAACTTGTTTTTTTCTAGTGTGTATTATAATAAATGAAATATTTCACGAATTTAAATTAAAAAATAATTTATACATTTAAAAACATTTCCTTATCATCGAGAATAGCTTATTTGTCTTCCGTCTATATAGTGGTGACTATGGGACCAAAAGACATTGACCTCTAACTTTTCTTTTTTATCATTAATACTTTTCGACATACGTGACTTGTTTACTCTTTCCATGATATGTCCTGTAGATATAAAATATCTCGACAAAAATTCTGCACATGGAGCAGTGTTCATATTTACATGCGAGCACTTCATGGTTGTATTAAAACGGTTATGAGACTCTAATAAATACCACTTAACGTCTTAGCGAGACATGCTGCATTACATTTACGTTACAGTCAATCAAATCTGATACAATCACAAGCGACCAATCGAAAAGTTTTAAAGAGATATAAATAGCAAAATCTCGTAATACGAGATTGCATGGCTATTCTCAACGAAAAAATATAGAAACAAGTATTATTTTTTTTATTATTATCTTGTAATGCGACCATTTCAATGGGTGACATATTATTGAAGTTAACGATGTTATTTTACTGCAACTCTGATGTATGTATTGTTTTGTCGTTTTGCTACATTTATGCAGCTGTCAATTTAAAATACGAGTTATGTTAAATTTGACAAAGTAAATAATATTCTATAACAAGAATGTTTAAATTTTTCTTTTCCGTTTCTAATATCTTTTTTATATAACTGTTATTTTTTAAATCGTTTAATTTTGTTTTAACATCCTTTTTAGCGTTCGAGTTGGTATTTTTCAAAAAAAAACTAACTAAAATTTAATGATAGAATAAAACAACGTGAAACGACAAATCGACACACAAAGAAATAAAATGTAAAAAAAGGAACAAAATAACACAATCGCTCTTGTACATACTTTTTCAGGGAATTAGAGAACTAAACTCTTTTTCTTTGGCTGTAAATATTATTTAAGTATCGTAAATATAACAAATTAGAAAGAATATTACTTTTTAATGAATATAGTCTTGTATGTACAGTGGTCTACAAAGTCTATTTAGAATCTTAAGACTGCACCTCTCTCAGTACTTCCAGAAACTGTGTCTATATATAACGTATTGTCCTTTATAATAAAATAATAATAATTACAAAAAAATAATACTTTTTATTATGTTATTCTTTACATTTATCTCCCAATTTGCTTTGTTTTATCCCAAACGGAAATAAATTATTTAAAATGAATATATGAAAGTAACATCTCGCGCGTTTTTTTAAAAAATCTTTTTAAAAAATCATCACAATTCAAAATGTTAGAAGCAAAAATAGCTATTTGTAATAATAATATCGCTATATCAAAAAATTTATTTTATTTTATACGCACATATACGTAAAAATACTTGAATAATAACTTATTATCGCCGTTCATAGTATATACAAGAATGACAAAATATCACGTGCATCTAATAAAACATTAATTAATTCATAATATTTCTCCGCATTTTTGATTCAGAATTATGGATTTAGCACAGACATGCACCTACCAGCCGTTTTACCATGGCACTTTAAAGTGAATCTGGCCATGTAGTTCCGCCGGCTTTAAAATGGATCCAGTTGACGCTATTGTACTGCCCGACAATGATTCGTTCCATTCCCTTAGCGAGTGGCGAGGTGAATATAGGAGGGGATAGTCATACATTAAAAAAACCCCACAAAAGTAAAAAAAAAATCAGAGAAAAGCCTGAGAGAGGCTACGCCGCCGTTTTTCAAAAGACGCTTCTTCTAGTTCGTATTATATGATCGCCGGTGATACTATCAGCTATCAGATTTTCGCAAAATGTTGTAACATGTCAAAAAATCGCGATATCTTGTGCAATATTGTTTTTTAGCTTATAAAATGTTAAGAGTGTTTTTTCTATCTTGTGGAATTTCACTCAGAATTTTAATTAAAAGACCGGAAATGCGAAAATAATACTTTTCTTGAGAGATTTAGATATGTATATTTATACGACATTAATTTCAAAAACGCTTTATTAAAGATCCCTTCAAACAAGCTTTTTAAAACCCCTTTTTTCTATTATTGTCTTATTTTATTTAAGATGTAATATAATATATTAATATAAAAAATATAACTACAGTATCTCTCTTAGTCTGACTCTTCCCCTTTGACCTGTCCGGCATGGGTGACCCTACCGGTAACTTATTAGCATTTTTGAGTGAAACAAGTTTAATCGCTTACAAATATATATTACAAAATATAATACAAAGATTAATATATAATTTAAAATGTAATACAAAATAATTTATTACACGAAAATATCCAAAATATTCATATAATGCAGAATTCACTAGAATTTTTTAGATTAGATATAGCTGATAAGGAGCGATTAATACGATATTTGTGATTAATGACCAACATGCAATTACAAAGCTTATTAAGTTTTATATAATGCAAATGATTCTAACCAAAAGAGTTGTTAATAAAATTATCGATTGTTTTTGAATCAAAAAGAAAAAAGTACTTATTGTTAGACTGGCGCATTTTGCGCAGAGTTTCAAAGAAAATATCCGAGGAAAGATAGACGAAGCTTCGATGTAAATCAACGATTAAATCACAAGATAAATCGCGATTTAAAATTTGTGAAAAAAAACGCGACGAATAAATAAATCGACGATAGCCGTAATATTCGCGATTCCAATATACATGCAATCGGAGGAATAATATAATTACTACATACTTAAACAAAAATGTTTTGACGGACATTTGGAGCGCTTTTTATAATCGCGTCTGTAATATAGTATATTTGTATACAATTTGAATATAAAATCTAATGCCCGATTTATTTTCAAATGCGTGATTTTATTAAATTAAATTAAATTTTGCGATCAAGAATAAAATATATGTACCGTTTCGCGAAAAATTGATTAAACAGGATAAAACCATATAAGTCTTAAAATACCGTTATAAAAAAAACTGCGCGTTATCGCCGCATTCAGTGAAGGATAACTGGCTCAACGATTTGACCGGATCAAGATCCCTCCGCCAGATAACACGCCGGTTAATATCCGACAAAGACAAGAACAATC